GAGATCAAATCTAGGGCATTTTGAATGCTAGGCAAGTGCTCTAACCCTTGAACTATACTCCCAACCCTTTTTTGTTTTTATTTTTTGTTTCTGAGACAAGGTCTTGGTACTGTCTTGCCTGGGCTGGCCTTGCACTCAATCCTCCTGCCTCTGCCTCCCAAGTAGCTGGCATTACAAGCGTGTATCTGCGTTTTAACAGAAGAAAATGGGAAAGGAGCTCTTGAATAAATAAATATCAGGAAAAACTAAAATATCCTTAGTTTTCTATTTGTTTGTTTATTAATCCATTGGAATCCCACCCTAAGGATTTCGGCCTAGAGGACCTTCATGATTGATGTGATAAAAATTTAATTTTCTCTTTTCAATTACCATGTCAGAAAGAGTCCAAGTCTTATGGTCAATTACCAGTACAACACTGGACATGTTCTGGACCCACCGATAAAGAAGGACATTCTTATAGAAATGGAGCGAGGGTCCTTGGTTCATTCCTGGACCAGTCAGTAGTGTTCTTTGACTTCTAACTACTTAAAAAAGAAAGGTAATAACATTTGTGCCTATAAAAATATGGATATTGTTCAGATTATCAAAACAACATTTTTCCTGATTTTTTGAGACAGAGTCTCACTATGTAGCTCAAGCTGGCCTGGAACTCATTTCATAGCCTGAACTAGTCCTAAACTTGTGATCCTTCTTCTTGACCTCCTTAGTGCTGGCATTATAGGTGTTAACCACCATGCCTGGCTTTAAAATACTCCATAGGCATTATTGTGTGTGTGTGCATGTGCATGCACGTGTGTCTGTGTGTGTGTGTGTGCATGCAGTGTTGAAGACAGAACTCAGGGCTTTGCACATGCTAAACAAGCACTCTGCCATGAACTTTATATCCCTAGCCAAAACACTGTTATTTTTTGATGAGCCACAGTGAGTGGACACTGCTACTTTCAAAGATTTTGGGGTTTAAATAAAAATAAACAGAACTACTTTGTTAGGACTTAATAATTTTCTACATTTTCTGGCATTTTCCAACCTTTTAAAAAACTAGAAAGCAATTTAAATTGTTTCTGTTCATGTTTCATCTCAGGGAATCTTACTAAAATGATGTTCTTAAATACTGGCCTAGTATAAAATAAAAGAATATTATGAAATAAATAAAAAACTTTTAAAAAAGAATATTATGTAGCAATGAGGGTCACTTCACCAGGGGACTGTCAAACCTACCTAAAATTTAACATTTGAATCTACTTACAGATAGACCAAGATGCAAGAAGAAAAAAGGAGTCAATTCTCTGAGGTTTGTAGAGGTTTATGAGTATTTTCCCTTGTGCTGATTTTAACAAGAGTGGGTAAAAGAGCCATCATTGGACTTCGTTCAGAGTGGGGAACCTGAGCTGAAGCTCCCCAACTGATCACACACAGGTTGGTAAAAACAAAAGCAAACTCAGGAGGTGATGGTAGGAAGATTATGAGTTCAAGGCCAACCTGGGCTACATGGCCAGACCCTCGCCCAAAAAGAGAAACAGAAACAAACATAAGGCAGAATTTGTCCAGGAAATCCCTTGCAGGGCACTCAGACAAAAGGCTACTGCCAGGGTTGGGAAGAACGCTAACACTTGTAATCCTAGCTACTCAAGTGCCAGAGATCAGGAGGATCATGGTTTGAGGCCAGCCAGGACAAAAAGTTAACAAGACCACATCTCAACAAACCAGCTAGGTATGATAGCTATGTAGGAGGTATAAGTAGGAGGATTGTGGTCCAGGCTGGCCTGGGAAAAAACACAAGACCCCATCCAAAAAATAACTAAAGCAAAAAGGTCTGGAAGGCATGGCTCAAGTGATGGAGCCCCTGCCTAGCAAGCTTGAAGCACAAGACCCTGAGTTTAAAACCTTAGTGCCACCATTATCAAAAAGAGAGAGAGAGAGAGAGTGAGTGAGAGAGAGAGAGAGAGCAGTTCTATGATGACTGTGGTTATAGTATGTACAGTGTGAGTATGTGAGATGGTCCAAAGATTAAGAGAACTGTATAAAACCTTAAATAGAAGAAAAAAAGAGAAGTCTTCACTCTTCGAGAGGGAGCCACATCAAATAGGTTCACTAAGCCCAAGAAATATTGAAAATTTTGACACTGCTGGGAAATCTTCAAAAATCACAGACTTCACTACTGAAACCCTTAAGGAGGCAGAAATGAGCCAGGTTTACAATTATCTTCCCATTGTAAATCACTTCTGCCTTCCTCTTAACACCACATCTGAAATGGAAGCAAGTGAGGGTGCAAATAGAATTCAACTCCATTATCATTTGGACTAAGCTGTACATAAAGAAATACCCATCAAGGGCTGGCAGCATGGCTCAAGTGGCAGAGCACTGCCACTAACAAGTGAGAGGCTTTGACTTCAAACATCAGTACCTCAGGAAAAAAAAAAGCCATAAAGATTCACTGAAGGACCCTAAATTCTCCTCGCAATTCAGGAAACCCATACTTGCCTTTGTTAGACAAAGGAGACAGAAATGCAGAGAAGCCACTGAATCACTTAATAGTCTCCATAAATCTATTATGAACCGAAGTTTCATATAGTCTGAAATGGAAGGGTGGGAGTCTTTGACAACCAAGGATAAAACCTAGTTCCTCACAATAAAACAGCACTGACATTCACAAATGGTCACCAGAGTTGAGAAAGCCATGATGGCTCTAATGGGTTAGAATGACTGATTACCTTAATGCGCTTCCAGGAGAAGCAGACTCAAGTGTTTAGATGTCATACTCATTAGTAACTTAGGCTGAGCAGGATGATTACCTCTACAATAATGCATTTCTATTTTTCTATGTTAATGAGAAAAATAAATGAAGAAACTTCATTTATATCCAACACCTATAAGAATGAAATTTCATGATATTTTGTTTTCTTATGAACAGTTTAATAAAACCATATTTTAAGGTACACCCCAAAATTATTTATTGAGGAGGCAATCCTCAATCTGTATGAAAACCATCATCATAAATGTAAAAATTTTTCCACCTGCATTTTTAGAAAAGAAACTTAGCAATTCCTTAAACCCCTCTCATTGTCCTAAAATGGCTTCCAGCAGGATTTCTGAGCAGCTCCTGATGGACTAGCACATGTCATGGAGAAATTAATTGGTTCTCGTCACTTTTATTAAAGTTTTCTGCTTAATTCCAACCTAGAAGTTATATCGTCCATAAAATAAGTGGCTTAGAGGTTACTCCTTTGTAATGAAGTCATGATCAGTCAAGATTTGGAATACTTAATGCCTTTGTTTTATTGTTTAATTTAATTTTAACAATTAAAGAAAATTAGAAATTCTGCCAAATGTTCTACCCTTTCACGTTAGGTGGGGCCAGTACCCTAACTGTCAGGAGGCAAAAACTGTGAACCTCGTGCCAAATAGCTACGTGAGCAAATAGTGAGATAAACAAGCCATTCATGGAGACAGAGGTGGAGCTGGGCTTGGAATGAATCAGGCCATCCCACAGAGTGGGTGTCTCCTTCCTAAGTTGCTCTCCAGGGCACAATTAAAACCCCTATAAAAAGCTCATCTCCCAGTTACCCAGTACACTTGCCAGCAGTGTCAGCGAGCACTCGACTTCTTCCTCTGGTGAAGTTGGTAAGTCCCAGTCTGTGGGATCATGTTGCTCTGTGTGATTCTTCATTTCTCTAGCCATGGTAGATGTTGGACAAAGGGGCTGGGTTCTATGTTCCAGAAAGGATTTGTATCTTACTATGTGGGCTCTAGCTCATTTATTCCATCCCATCACCTTATGGTTGGAGCCATCACTTGGAGACATGGCCCTTCTCTCAAGGCTGTGAACGCAATACCTTTGCACATCAGGAGATAATCAAAAAGATCAAGGTGATGAGGCTCATATTTTCTGAAACTTGGTCTCTGGTCTCTTTTCATATATTTTGTACCTAATATGGGCAACTTTGTCAGTTAGGGCATCTGAGGCATCTGAGGCATTGCGATGTGGATAAAGAAGTCACCTAGATAAACTACTGTTCACACCTGACCAGCAAAGCCATCTAACACTGATTTACTGGTGGATTTTTTTGTCTTGGTTTTTGCAGTGCTGGGGATAAAACCCAGGACCTTGCACATGCTTGGACAAGCACTCTACCAATGAGAACCAGTTCCCAATCTTTTTTAAAATGTCAACATTCAAATGATTTACTTGGGTTTAACAAAGGCTAGTCAATATCATTCAAAGTTTTCTAAATTGAGTTTAAGAAGACTGACTCTGGCAGCCAACCAGGAAGGACCGCTCAGTATCTTTCAGTTATTGAGAATGTGAATAGCCATAAAATATGAGTTAAGGCCGGTAACCCTCTCTGTGTTCTCTGCATTGATATAACCAAATGTTACAAGGCTATCTTTTTGACTAGGAAAAAGTAGTGCTTAATCTTAGAACTGGTGACTTACGAGTTACACTCCTAGATCTCTTATGGGCTACTGATTTGAGGATAATGCACATCCACTTTTCATTATTCTATGTGTTACCACGTTTTTGCTGACACAATTAGCTGTGTATGGCTCTGTCCACTTTAAGATACTCCTAAGTTTTCCTTCACCTCTTATCTTTCACCCATCCTCTTTGCTCAACTTTAGAAGAAATTGCTTATGAGTACCAATGTATCACATTTAAATTCCTGCATTCCTCTCTTCACTAACTGCTGTGAAATATGCTGGGTAGCTGAAACAGAGAAGGAAAGCATACAGATAATCCAATTTGGATAGACAATAAAATGACTATTAGATAGTTCGTAAATGACTTCCTGGCTTGAGATTTTTCACAATTTCTCTCCTCCTTCTAGAATATAATATTCAAAGATAAAATACTCAAAAAGCCTAAAAAACTACTGGAAATTCAAATTACTTAGAGATCTGTCTAAATCGTTTGAATGAAGGTTTCCCCAAAGCAGAAACAGTTTTGATTCTGCATCATATTTTATTGCTCCAGGTTTACTTGAATTTGAAGGAAGGGAAAAATGTCTTCACTTCTGAAAAGCATCTGTGATATCACTGAAGTTTTCAATCAGTATGCCTCACATGGTTGCGATGGGGCCTCACTAAGCAAGAAAGACCTAAAGAACCTCCTTGAAAGGGAATTTGGAGCTGTCCTTCGGGTAAGAACTACCAAGAAAAGAAAATCTCTCTTTAATTTAGGGATAGTTTTCTTCTCATACGAGAACAGAGCAAGGAATGGGGATTTGTGTTCACTTTACACCACGACAAGTCTACACTACATCCTCATTCCAGTCTAAAGATACTTAATCAACATTGCAGTATTGACATTCTACATAATAGAAGTTAGAAGCAAGTATTTCATGGCTTGATGGCATTGTCAATCAGAATAAACTGTTCATGGCACATTACCACCAAAAATGTCAAATCCATTTGGCCTGTTTTCTACTAAAATGGTGTTGCCATAAACATTTTGTTTTGTTTTCATACATGGAATAGAAAGCAAATCAGGAGTACAGGCTATTTCAAATAGAAATGGCTGCTGGAAATCATAAATTTTCATTTTTGTTTCTCTCAAGGATGAATTCATTTTTATTCTCCCAGCTAAAAAATTTATGGGTTAATCAGCAGTAATTTACAATATACAAAAATTTCCAACAAATCTTGGCTTTGAGGTTCACATTTTACCTGGGGAAACAAAATGTGACACACACTAGCATTTTTCTAATTGCTCTGAATGTCTCTTGGATGTGAGGGTGAAATTTTACGGCCTGTAAATAGCACATTGTACTTTGTCTTAATCTTTTCAGAGACCACATGACCCTGAGGCGGTAGATCTGATTCTAGAACTTCTGGACCGCGACTCCAATGGGCAGGTGGATTTCAATGAATTCCTCCTCTTCGTTTTCAAGGCGGCTCAAGCTTGTTACTATGCCCTAGGCCAGGCCGCGGGGCTAGATGAGGAGAAGCGTGAGGGAAAGGGGAGCCTCTTACAAGATCGCAGGCAAGAAGACCAAAGAAGATTCGAGCCCCAGGATGAAGAACCTGGGCGCCCAAGCTGGCAGAAGCAGCACGAGCAGGAGAGGGAGCAGGAACGGGGGAACCGGCAAGAAAGACTTGAGGAGCGCGACAGGCAGCAGCGCGACGAGGAGCAGCGGTTGCAGCGGCTGGAACAGCAAGAGCGGCGCGCAGAGGAAGAGCAGCTGAGGAGGCGCAAGGGCCGCGACGCGGAGGAGTTTTCTGAGCAAGAGGAACAGTACGGGAGTGAGAGGCGGGAGCAGCGAGAGCGCCAGGAGGAGCGGCTGCAGAGACGCGAGCGGCAAGAGCTGGACAGCGAGCGCCGGACGGAAGAGAGGCAGCAGCTGCGCGAGCAGCAGGAGCAGAGGCGCGAGCAGCAGCTGGTGGCTGAGGAGGAGCAGGCCCGGCGCCAGGACGAAAGCCGCGCCCAAAAGTGGCAGTGGCAGCTAGAAAGCGAGGCGGAGGCGCGTCAGAGCAAAGTCTACTCCAGGCCTCGCAGGCAGGAGGAGCAGAGGCTCCGTCAGGAGCAGGAGGAGGAGCAGAGGCGGCGCCGCGAGCGGGAGCTGCAGCGGCAGCAGCTGGAAGAGGAGCAGCAGCAGCGCCGCCGCGAGCAGCTGAGGGAGGAGGAGCGACGGGAGTCGCAACAACGGTTTTATGGGGAACAGGACCCCCGCCGCCAGCAACGCGAGAGGGAGCAGGAGCTGCGCTTCCGTGAGGAGGAGCAGCTGCAACGAAGGGAGCTCCAGGACAGCCTCGCTGAGGACCCACAGAGGAGGCGACGCCAGGAGGAGCAAAGCTGGAGGTGGCAACTAGAGGAAGAAAGCCAGAAACGCCGCTACACGCTCTTCGCGAAGCCCGGCCAGCGAGAGCAGCGGAGGGAGGAAGCGCAGCTGCGACAAGAACGGGAAGAACTGAGGCTGCGTCTCCAGGAGGAGCAGCAGCTGCGCGGCCAAGAACGTGACAGAAAATTCCGGGAGAAGCAAGAGTTGCGTCAGGAAAGAGAGGAAGAGCAGCTGCGCCGCCAAGAGCGTGAGCAACAGCTTCGCAGAGAGCGCGACAGGAAATTCCAGGAGGAAGAAGAGCTGCGCCAGGAACAGGAAGAAGAGCAGCTGCGCCGCCAGGAACGCGACAGGAAGTTCCGTGGAGAGCAAGAGCTCCGTCAGGAACGGGAGGAAGAGCAGCTGCGCCGGGAGCGCGACAGGAAATTCCAGGAGGAACAAGAGCTGCGTCAGGAAAGAGAAGAGGAGCAGCTGCGCCGCCAGGAGCGCGAGCAACAGCTTCGGGAACGTGACAGGAAATTCCAGGAAGAGGAAGAGTTCCGTCAGGAAAGAGAGGAGCAGCAACTGCGCCGCCAGGAACGCGACAGAGAATTCCGAGAGGAACAAGAGCTGCGTCAGGAACGGGAGGAAGAGCAGCTGCGTCGCCAGGAACGCGACAGAAAGTTCCGCAGAGAACAAGAGCTGCGTCAGGTAAGAGAGGAGGAGCAGCTGCGCCGTGAGGAGCGTGAGCAACAGCTTCGCAGAGAGCGCGACAGAAAATTCCAAGAGGAAGAAGAACTGCGCCAGGAACGGGAGGAAGAGCAGCTGCGACAGGAACGCGACAGGAAATTCCGAGAGGAAAAAGAGCTGCGTCAGGAAAGAGAGGAAGAGCAACTGCGCCGCCAGGAACGTGACAGAAAATTCCGCAGGGAACAAGAGCTGCGTCAGGAAAGAGAAGAGCAGCAGCTGCGCCGTGAGCTTGACAGGAAATTCCGAGAGCAAGAGCTTAGTCAGGAGAGGGAGGAAGAGCAGCAGCTGCGCCAGGAAAAAGAAGAGCAGCTGCGCCGCCAGGAACGTGACAGAAAATTCCGCAGAGAACAAGAGCTGCGTCAGGAAAGAGAAGAGCAGCTGAGCCGCCAGGAACGCGACAGAAGATTCCGCAGGGAACAAGAGCTGCGTCAGGAGAGGGAAGAAGAGCAGCTGCGCCGGGAGCGCGACAGGAAATTCCAGGAGGAACAAGAGCTGCGTCAGGAAAGAGAAGAGGAGCAGCTGCGCCGCCAGGAGCGCGAGCAACAGCTTCGGGAACGTGACAGGAAATTCCAGGAAGAGGAAGAGTTCCGTCAGGAAAGAGAGGAGCAGCAGCTGCGCCGCCAGGAACGCGACAGAGAATTCCGCAGAGAACAAGAGCTGCGCCAGGAAAGAGAAGAGGAACAAGAGCTGCGCCGCCAGGAACGGGAAGAAGAGCAGCTGCGCCGCCAGGAAAGCGACAGAAAGTTCCTAGGGGAACAAGAGCTGCGCCAGGAACGGGAGGAAGAGCAGCTGCGCCGCCAGGAACTGGACAGGAAGTTCCGCAGAGAACAAGAGCTGCGCCGGGAGGAGCGTGAGCAACTGCTTCGCAGAGAACGCGACAGAAAATTCCAAGAGGAAGAAGAACTGCGCCAGGAACGGGAGGAAGAGCAGCTGCGCCGTCAGGAACGCGACAGAAAGTTCCGAGGGGAACAAGAGCTCCGTCAGGAACGTGACAGGCAGTTCCGCAGAGAACAAGAGCTGCGCCAGGTAAGAGAGGAGGAGCAGCTGCGCCGTGAGGAGCGTGAGCAACTGCTTCGCAGAGAGCGCGACAGAAAATTCCAAGAGGAAGAAGAACTGCGCCAGGAACGGGAGGAAGAGCAGCTGCGTCGCCAGGAACGTGACAGGAAGTTCCGCGGGGAACAAGAACTGCGCCAGGAACGGGAGGAAGAGCAGCTGCGTCGCCAGGAACGCGACAGAAAATTCCGCAGAGAACAAGAGCTGCGTCAGGAGAGGGAGGAAGAGCAGTTCCTCCGGGAGCGCGACAGAAAATTCCAAGAGGAAGAAGAGCTGCGTCAGGAACGGGAGGAAGAGCAGCTGCGCCGCCAGGAACGCGACAGAAGAATCCGCAGGGAACAAGAGCTGCGTCAGGAACGGGAGGAGGAGCAGCTGAGCCGTCAGGAACGCAGCAGAAGAATCCGCAGGGAACAAGAGCTGCGTCAGGAACGGGAGGAGGAGCAGCTGCGTGGGCAGGAGCGAGCCCGGCAGTACGGGGCCGAGGAGCAGTTTGCGAGGGAGAAGAGTCGTCGTCAAGAACAGGAACTGCGGCAGGAAGAGCAGATCCGCCGAGAGAGGCAGTTCCGGGAAGACACGGGTCACAGGCAGCTGCAGGAGTCTGGCAGGAGCCAGTTCGCCCACGTGCCGGTGCGCTCCAGCCCTCTCTATGAGTACATCCAAGAGCAGAGGTCTCAGTACCGTCCTTAGACGCCGCCAGCACCCCGACGCCTGCCAATGCTTCAAGCTGAAGAATAGAAACGCGGGGTGCCAGGTGTTCACTCACGTGTTTCTGGTTGTGAGGAATCTCTCATCTCTCTGATGTTAGAATGTGTCTTTTCTTCCAAAATCTTCCACTACTCATTTCATCACTTTGTACTCTGCCTTTTATTCTTTCTCGGCTATTTCTTTACGCAAGATGTCTTTGTTATTGGTGCACATATAGTATCCATACAAAAAAAATTAACTCATTTTAACTTGTGTAAGGAGTTTTTTTGAGGAACACTGGTTTATTGCTTCAAAAGTAAGACTACTACAGCAATTTGAGAATTGGGACTATATTTTAAGTTGATTTTTTTCCTTAGGCTTGATTTTTCATTGATCTTTACCTCCAAAAGTGTCTCATTATTTCACCAACTTTTTGTAACTTTCGGTTCAGAAGGAGTGACTTCTGCAAAAAAGTTCCCTGCAAAATCAGCCCATAACTGAAAGAAATACCTGTTAAGCGTAGGATTAGCTTGAAGATTTAGAATTTGGGATCAAATTTTACTCTTTACTTACTTAACACTTAAAATCTCAGGAAGCAAAGGCAAGGTGTTTCTCAAAATTCCAAACTCAAGTTTTAAAACTGCTGTAGTCTGTAGTGCTCAGTTCTATTCCCCCAAGTTCTGATGAGTTTGAGAGTATTAGTTCTTTTGTGAGTTTAGTTTAGAGAAAACCTACTCAAGATACAGTATGCATATGTCTTGCTCTAGGGTCAATTAAAAAATCATAGCTTGTTGGGGAAAGGAGAAGGGGAAATGTGTGAAGAGAAGGGCAAGTTTCTAGAAATCCTTTGACAAGACTCATCAGCCCACAATCTTTTAAGGCCTAATACTATCTTGGGAGACATTCTTGTTGAAATAATTGAACTTTGTGAAAAATTAATAAATGTTTGGCAAATAATTTTTGTCTGTTTTAACTGTGGGTCAGTCATAACTCAAGATCTAATAATCTTCAAATGAACATTCCTAATCACTTAAAGTATTTTTGTTACTATTATCTATATTCAAATATGAAGCTGGGAGGGAAGAACCTTTCACCATCCATTTTTTCCAGTTGGGGCAAACCTTGTATTATCATCCCCACATGAATCCTCTTTCCATTTAATTTTGTTCCTGGACCCACAGCTCTCTTGTGTCCTTTCTCACTGGTCATGAAAAAATTACTGGTGCTCCCAATGTTTGTTAATATTTCCTCATGAGAATGCAGCAGCCTCTTGATCTTTGATGTTTGATAAACCAATGATAAAAAAATGACCTAAAACTTCAGATCAGCACTATAGACATTGTAGATGATCTCTTAATTTAAGCAACATAATCCATAAAGTAACTGAATCAGAAAATGCTGAAGAGCAGCCAGGCAAAAGTATTGTCGTCCCATAATCCAAAAACTCCTTGCCACTTGCTGAACTCTGAATACATTATTCAGTTTGATGACTTAAGAATAAAGCTAAGAAGATGGCAATGAGGATATCACCATCCCTAATTGTGAGGCTTATGAATGAGAAAATGTCCTACTGTTGTGATGGCATTATCATTTTGCCCAATGATGGAAACAAGGAAGCTAAGCCTAAAGTGCTATCTAACTATGATTCTGATTGAGTAAAGAAGCATCTTCTGTAAAGAGCACTGCCTCTCTAACACAAATGGAAGGTCCCCACCAAAGATATAACTGAGGAATCCCCTGAAACTCTGAAAGTAACTGAAAAATCTTCACCCCAACTTCTACCTTTGAACTAATAGGAAAAAGAATTAACTAACAAAAATGATCATCAGAGCCTACTTCAATTTGAAAGATCTTTCCTGTACAACCATCTAATCCTGAACTCCCCTCCATCTGTTTCCCAAAATCCTCTTCTGAAGAGTTTATCTCATCACCCAGGTTTATTCTTTGAGACAGAGGACTAAAAACTAACTCCATTTTCTTTGACTTCAGTTCTACTAAACATTACCCTTCTGATTTATGAACCTCTCTTATGTGTTTAATTATTCTCATTATTTTCAAAGGAGAAAACTAAGTCCTAGAGTTTAGTCCCACTCCAACTAAAATTCAGTGGCTATTAGTGTGAAGTATGAGCCTATCTTTTCATCTGCACTTATTGCACATTGCTAATATTTGTACTCAGTCATACTTATTGAGTTTTTCAGGAAATGTACCATAATCTACTGAATATTATAATCTATGTAATATGAAATAAGCACATTTCCCTTGTTAATAAAGAGCTGAGAGTCACATGCAATAATCTGAAACTAATACAAAGGATAGATTTCTGAGCTGATTATCATATTCTAAACCCTCAGGGTGTTCATGGCACGCAATCAAGCTATGAAAACTTTTAGAAATTTGATCTGTCACTACTTCTCTTTAAAAAAAAAATGTGTCATTTTCTGCAAGATAAAGTCCAAAGTCTTCAATTTGGAATTTAAGGCCTGTCACATTCTAGTATCTGTCTTCTAAACTTTGAATACCACAATATCTCTGGAGTCAACCATGTGTTCAAACTAGACTAGTCTATTTATTGTCATTAGGATGCAATATGATTTTTTCTTACCTCAAATACATTGGTATAATTTTATCTATTTGTAATGCCTCTCTCCTTCCTGTCTTCCAGGGCAACTTCAACTCAGTTTTTAAGACTCGGGTTTAGTCCTACTTCCTCTCCAAAATCTTTCATAATCACACACAAAGATATTTCTCTTCATCGAGATCCTAAGACATCTATTATCTTTACCACTTATTAATCGATTACAATATTCTGCCTTAGTTAGCATTACACTTGCTTCATCTTCCTAACTATATTATAAAAACCTTGAAAACAGTCTATAACTTGGATGTTTTTATTATTTTTTTGGATTGTTTTTATTTTGTATATTCTTTCCATGATACACAATAAACAACAGGGCTCTAGAAAGTTCTGAGGAAATGTATGGACTCTCTCACTAGAAAAACATATATTTAAAATTTTTTCCCAGATTTTTAAAAGTTGTTAGTTTTCTAAGAAGACTTCCTAACTTTATACTACTAGCTCAAGGAGTTGTGAAAATTAGATGCATAAAGTAGGCATTCAATAGGTACCTGCAAAATGAATGAAATAATATAGCCTTTCATGGTTCTATTCTGTCCAGGGCCTCTGCTGTCTATCTATGAAACATTCCATCCCTCCCTTCTGAATATTGAAGCCCTAAGTCCTTTTTATATATTTAAAATTCCTTAACTTCAGGCATCAGTGAGGCATTACTGAGCGTACATTCTCTTTCGCCTTAGTCTGGTTCTGCCTGGGAATTGGAGTGATCTCTGGTCTTAGCATCTATCAGTGTCCCTTACTGGGAGAAGAATGTAGAAGTAAACCAAGGGAAAAGGTGAATTCTGCTCTCACATAATATTGTGAGGTGGTGAATGCAGTGAAAAGCAGTAAGATTTTGATTCCAAATTATGGCTGGTTTCCTCACAGACATTTGAATTCAAATATAATATACCTACTGAATGCTTACATTATGCATCTAATTGTCACAACTACTTGAGCCTGGTTTCTTACCATGAAACTGAGAAAATTTCATTGTAACTTATGAAGAGTATTTTCCTTTTGAAAGCCTTCTTGTCAATTTTTATTCCTCCTGCACTACTTTAACCTTATTTCTTTTGAAATAATGTCCTGATTTTATTCCAAGAGCCATGTGACTCCTTTTCCCTGGAGCACCTTAACAAATGTCCTCACATTAGCTTTAATATATAGATCATGACCAAGTCAATCCCTAGGTTTTATTCCTGACCATGTATGTAGAGTTGATGAGTAGAAGTAGGAGAGGGAGGCAAGTTTCACATCATTTTGTCACAAGTCCAATGGTCAGAGAACCACAGAGCTTATAAGAATACCAACATCTAGGTCTGTTAACAGAGTCGGGAAAGGCTTCCCCCAAAGAAATTGATGTTTAAGCTGAAACCTGAAGATAGGTGGAAAAATTAGCTTGATGGAGAGGAAAGGAAAGTGCTTTGAAGGCAAAGTGAAATTCATAGTTAAATACTGAAAGCAAGAGGAAGAATAGTAGAGTCAAGAAAATCAAATTTAGATTTCACTAGAGCCTAGAAATCCCAGGAGATAAATGGCAAGAGAGGAGACTAAAGAGGTTTGTGAGAGTCTTGCAAGCCATGTGAAGTTTATCTTAAGGGCAACAAAGAATCATCACTTTAAGCAGGGAACTGATTAACCATATTGACAGTTTATGAGAATCACTCTTTCTACATTGTAAAGAATGGGTTGGAGAGAGCCAAGATGGAAGCAAGAACATTTCTTTACAGTAGGATTTTACAATCACCCCAGTGAAAAACAATGATGACCCAGGTACAATAATGGGAGTGGGAAAAGGGAGAAATGATTATATTTGAGAGGTATTTCAGAATTACAACTGACAGAAGTTGGTATATTTAAGGGATGATGGAGAAGAGATAAAATATGATATTGGTTGATAGTTGGGGAAATTGGGTGGGTATTGGTGCCATTATTGAAATGAAAGCACAAGATGGTGTCACGTTTCTAGTGAGGAAAAATGAAAAGTTTAGGTTTACCTACTTTAGGTTGGAGGTGGCTTTGAGTCTTATAGGAAGTGATATCTTATGTCAGCTGGCTATATGAGTTTGGAGCTCAGGTGAGAGTGTAATAGGTACTTACTCTGTTTTTGCTGAAAAGCACTAACACCCATACTTGAGCCCATGAATTAGCTAAAAGCAGGAGAAAAGCTTGGCATCCTTGCCTCCATTTCCTGTCTGTCTTTGCTCTAAACTATTTTATCTCCAGTCACTTTTCAATCACCTTGGAATCTGAGAAAGACCAGACCTATTGATAATATGTTTATAAGAAGGGATAGAGAAAATTGCCCCCAAGGAAGGGAGCAGCAGAGCCTTCCTCAGGCAACAATGACTTATTTATCCTGCCCAATAAAGACACCATAATTTCTCT